TTAATATTTAATAAAATATATTATATTATTAACAACATATATTCAAAACATTTAAATATTTAAAATATTTAAAATTTATAAAATTGGATTTATTTTGATCTTATTATAAAATATATTGTCATAGGAGTTGGTTAATTTAGTACTAAATTTAATTTAAGTTTATAGAGTAGATTATAACTCATGTATTTAGTTTATTATAAGCGGATACCATTATAGTACCATTTTAGTATCTGTTTGAAATCCTAATTTCTGATTAGATTATAAGTTTATTGGTTTTTTTATTGAAATTATATATTCAATTAAGCCAGATTTTACAATAAGATCATAAGAATCTCATATTCAGTGCAAATTATGTTATATTTTAATAATGCTGCAATATGTATGTAAATTGATATACTGTAATTAATTTACTGTGTAACATTTTTTTTTACAATTATTATGAGCTAGGTTTTGAATTTATTTTATTTTTTTATGCAGAAAGTTTTTGTAAGATATTTTGTGTCAGATTTTGTTATAACAATTTTTTTTTTTGCATTATTTTAAAATAAATTTTTTATAAATTTAAGAATATTAAAATGAATTCAAGTCGTATGTATAATCATTATTATGTTCCTTTTTCAAATAAAATATCCGATAGAAATTATAAATACTAAAAATATCATTTTATTGTACTGTACTATATAGCTCTTATTACATGGCACCAAGACAATTAATGTGATTAACATTGTTATGGAAGAAAGCTGGTACAATTAATGATAAACACTTGGAAAGCACATGAACCTGTTACTGTATAGAACGCACCTTATATCTTTTGAATCTTTAGTGGCAAGAAAGTCTTTGTATAATATAGTAAATAATCAAGATTCCATCAACTCGATCAAAAATCATGCCTCTAATCAATTATCTAAAATATTGCACCAAATTATCCGTTAACAATATTGTATTCGTTTATTTATTGTTTTATATGAACAATCAATAATTGGTTATCTAATAAAATTAAAGTTTAAAAATCAAACCAAACCATAAACAGAAACGAAAATAAGAATATGTAGTAATAATAGACTTCTTCCACCAACTAGTGAAAAAAAATTCTTTATGCTTAATGTTAGCATAATTTTGCATTAGTTTTCCCATAAATATTACTAATGACTTTAAGAGATTATAGGAGTGACGGGCGTGATCATTTATTTGTTATCTATTCTGATTTAGTAATACTCACGCCGATATCTTTATTAAAAAAAATAGTCAAAAAAGGATAATATGTTCAATGAATATTTATTCTACATTAAAATAAAGACATACCTGTTATTAACTTAATTTCTGTTAACATAGGAGTTAATAATCTGCTAGTATAAACGGATTCTGAATGTTCATTTATGACATCTCTCGCCGTACGAATTATTTTCATACGTTCATTTTCAGATTCTTCAAATATTGGTTTATAACGATTACGAATATTAGAGGGAGAACCTTTGGGGTCAACAAATTTACACACTTTCTTATAAAGCGCATTAATTGTTGGTCGCTTGGATGGATCCTCATGCCAACACTGTTGCATTAAAGTTGACCAGCATTCGGGGGTGTCCTTAGTAATTTCGGGACGTTCTCCATTACAAATATCAACTATGAGATGTATACCGTGTGCTCGATCATCAAATGGTCGGTGCCCAGATGTCATTTGATGCATGATCATTCCAAGGCTATATATGTCAGAGGCGTAAGAAAATGACTCTTCTTGAAAAATTTCTGGGGCAGTGTATGCTATGACACCATATAATTTTTCTAGATCTGATATTGCATGTGATTCTTTTGCAGAAAAACTAATTCCAAGGTCGGTGATTATTGGAAGTTTTTGATTATTCTTGTATAATATATTACCGCTATGCAAATCGCGATGAATAATATTGATATCATGAATTGCTTTAATTCCCTCAATAATTTTTACTAGATACCAAGCCTTGGTCATCCAAGTAATTTTTTCAAAATCCTTGCTTAAATGCTTGTGAAAATCGCCGTCTCTACAATGTTCCATGATTAAAATTAAATTTCCGGATGATGGTTCTCGAGACACTCCAAAACAAAGAACTATTGGACAACGTCTATCTCGGTACTTTTTAAAGCTCTGATTCGTATGTTGTAACTATAAATATAAAAACAGTATGTATATTAGATTTTTTTTTTTTTTTTTAATGAACGAAATAAAATGTTACAGTACCTCGTTTAAGAAATCAAAGCCAATCACATTAGAATCATTAAAAATCTTCAATGCAACCGTTTGTTTATACACGTTTTCTTTTTTTCCTTTATGCTTACTATAGACGGTTTCTCTCCTACTCCACAAAGCTTTGAATATTTTACCAAACCCACCTTGACCTATTTGTTCTCTAATTTCTAGGTCGTCATAAGAGATCCACGCAAGTTGCTTTTCTCGTAAATTTGTGTGTGTGTTTTTAATGTATTTATCAACTTCTTTACTACCGCTATCAACCTGCTGAAATTTGTTGCTAAAGCAATATTTGCAGAGTTGAGGATCTGTTTTACTAATAAAGTAATGATGACATTTTGGGCATTTAACTTTGGAGGAACGAACTTTGGAGTATCTAGCTTTAGATAGTAATTCTAATAACTCAAATTCCGAGAAATCGTCGTCATAATCTGGGTCCATAGTTTAAGTATTTCAAGGAATCGTAAAAATTCAAGGGGATTATATATTTATGGTTAAAATATATTCTTTTATTTATGACTTCGTCGCACTGTCAGGGTGACATAATCTCGGATTACGTTACGTTCGGAAAAGGATGTATGGTGAAAAGTAATTGTAGATTTGGCGAGTTAAATGATTTAAGAGGATTTATATACGTGTTATTCACGAGAAATCAATGAAATAATGAAATAAAGATTACGTGTGATTTTACCGTTTCATAAATACATAATCAATTCTCACGCTGATAAATATCACGATTAAACTTTAACAAACTTCACACCTAAACCTTTTTAGTAAATAATGAATACATATGTATTTAAGATTTTCCAGCTGATTGTGTGATTTTTTTTGTACTAACAATCTTTCTAACTCCATTGATTCTATTGATTCTCATAACAGACCCTAGATCAGCAATAGTTGCTAGGAATATCACAGTTTTGGATGCCATTTTCGGCCGCAGAGAGGATGTTCTTTATTCGCTGATCGCAGTACAAAAAATAACCAACGTCACTCGTGCGGCACCCTTGCGGCACCTTTGCGTCACCTGTTCAGGTACACCTACAATATATCGTCTATGTTGATCTTCGGATTTATTTTAAGTCGGAAATCGAAAAACAAAATAAATAAATTTTATTAATAATAAAACAAAGATAAGATTTATAATTAAAAAAAAAGATAAATATTTATAATTGAATAAAAAAGATAAAATTTATTAGTAGTTTAAATTACAAAAAAATATTTAAGATAAAATAATTTTTAAGTTCACTTTTTTTTAAAAAGTCAACTAAGCCAAGCCTTTAAGTTGTTAAATTGTTATTATTAACAAAATAAATATAATTTATACCAAGGAATAGTTTTTATACATGAAGAAAAAGAAGGAAGAAACATTACAATATTGTAGAAACAATTTTTAGAAATTACAGAAACATTATGTAATCCAGACAAATAACAAAGAAAAAACAAAAATATATTAGGTGACAACAATTACAATACATATTAACTAAATACTATATTAGAAAGAAATTGCCAATTTATAACTAAAACAAACAATTTGAGATATTGAATAACTTTTATCAACAGAAAAAATGAAAATACAACTAAATAGTTTAAATATAACTAAAAACAAAGAATTCAAAAAAAAAACAACAATAAGAACTTAAATTATTCAAGTTATTGAAATTACAAGCAGAAATAATAAAAGTAATTGTTTATATAAAAGAGAAAAAAAATAATTATAAAAATTTAAAGATTGAAATTATTAAAATACAAGTTTAACAAATATTTTTTTTTTTTTTTTTTTTTTTTAAAACACTAGCTGGGCCTTGCCCGGTATACTTTATTAGTTTGTGATGTTTACA